CTATAGATGTCACAACCTATAGAGGCATGATTGGATCACTCCTGTACCTAACTGCTAGTAGACCTAATATTATGTTTGCCACATGTTTTTGTGCAAGATATCAAGCAAATCCCAAAGAATCGCATCTTTCTGCGGTCAAGAGGATCTTTAGATACCTTAAGGGAACTCCTTTATTGGGTCTCTGGTATCCAAAGGACTCTGGCTTTGATCTAATCACCTACACAGATACAGATCATGCAGGATGCAAGTTTGACAAAAAGAGTACGTCTGGAAGCTGTCAATTCTTGGGGGACAAGCTGGTAAGTTGGACCTCTAGAAAACAAAATTGTGTCTCAACATCTACAGCCGAAGCAGAATATGTTGCTGCTGCTAGTTGTTGTTCACAAGTTCTCTGGATGAAGACTCAACTTAAGGATTATGGTTTTCATTATGATAAAGTCCCAATCCTCTGTGACTCCAAGAGTGCCATAACAATCTATGCAGACCCAGTACAGCATTCCAAGACCAAGCACATCGATGTAAGGTACCATTTTCTGAAAGACAATGTTGAAAAAGGTAACATAGAAATGTACTTTGTTCCAACTGAGATTCAAATTGCTGACATTTTTACGAAAGCTTTTCATGAAAAACGATTTTTATTCTTAGTCAGCAAGATGGGTATGCTGAATCTCACCACTTAGAGGCAATAATTATCATTCAACCAGCGATCTTCAATATCTCATGGTTATGCCCATAAGTGATACAATAACTTAGCCATAAATTTTCTAAGTTTCCTAAACCAGAGCCTCTGGTTCTAAAGACCAGAGCCTCTAGCCATTTAGAATGACTTAAATTTATTGGCAAAATTTTATCTTTGTAACCAGAGCCCCTCTGGACTCCAACACTTTGAGATATCAATGTCTCAATCCTTTGATTCTTGCATTCTCTCTCATTATTTCTTTCTCCTTAACCTCCCAGAGCCTCTGGTTCCAAAGACCAGAGCCTCTGGTTTCCCCACACTCTTGCAATATTTTTTTTGCAACCAGAGCCTCTGGTTTCCTCCTTTACTTGCTATATATTCTTTTCTTACAACCAGAGCCTCTGGTTCTAAAGACCAGAGCCTCTGGTTTTAGATTCTTTAAAAGCAAGTCTTAACCATTTCCCCTCATACTCCTTTTTCATAGTTTTTCCAACCAGAACCTCTGGTTCTAAAGACTAGAGCCTCTGGATTCAAAGTCTTTGTCACCAGAGCCCCTCTGGTCTCAAAGACAATTCTTTTTCCTTGTTCATAACACTCATTGCCTTCTCAACCAAAGCCTCTGGTTCCATAGACCAGAGCCTCTGGTTTCAATGTCCTTTAGTTTTTCAAAAACCCATAAACCCACAAACCATGCCTCTCAACCAGAGCCTCTAGTTCTAAAGACCAGAGCCTCTGGCTTTGTTCTCTTTGCAATCCTTACTTGGCCTATGCTTCTCACAACCAGAGCCTCTGGTTGTATAGACCAGAGCCTCTGTCTCCTAAACTTCTCAAATTTTATCTAAGTGAAGGGGAATCTTTGATGCATCATTTGAGGGGGAGTAAAAGTTTACTTTTGTAACCTTGCATTTTCCATCCAGAGCTTCTGGTTCTACTATCCAGAGCCTCTGGTCCCATAAAATGCTATATTTAAATAAAATACCAGACCTCCTCTGGTTTTATAAAATGGATTGCCATACTTCACCCGAGCCTCTGGTTTGTTAACCAAAGTCTCTACATCATGCAAATCCAACATCACTACTTGTCTTCATCGACATCACAACCAGAACTCCTCTGGTTCCACACCAACTTTGTCATGCATAACCAGAGCTCCTCTGGTTCCATGAAAATACATTTTACAATAAAACTCATCTTAATTCAAAACCATTTTCAAGATTATACAAAATTGCAGCTTTTGTGACTAAAAACTTTACAACAAGGGTTTTTAGAAGACCAAAACTTCGTAATTAATATTAATCTTACAATTAGATGAGATTTTGAATAATATTTTTTTGGGAAACGTCTTCACCAAGATATTATTTGGAATGACTCTTCATTTCAAATACCTCATGACGTCACTTAAACCACGTGCCTGACACCGTACAGGCTGTCCCCCATGAGCCGTTTCGATATTTTCCCTCCCTTACCCCAGGCTGAAACGTGTCCGCTACATTAATGGTATGTCCTATCCAGACGGCTCACGTTCATCCAATAAAACCCATTTTCATGATTATTATATTATAATAATCAAAGAA